TGCATGAATAATGTCGCCCATTGAACATCAATTAAGTCTGCTATAAGATATTCGTCTCTTCTGATGACAAATACAACAACTCCTCATAACTATTCAGCACAGTCAAACAAAACATGTCATATACACAACAACAATGAACTTATTCTATGCAAAAAAACAATTTTGAGACAATAGAGAACAACCGAAGATAAATTATGTTATGGAGGCGATTCTCAAATATGACAAGAAGATACAACTGTACAAATTATAAGTTTTTTAAATTCTTTATTTGAACTTGAGAGAATAGAGAAGTAAGGCAAAAACGCACCACATCGTGCAAGAAATTGATGATCCAATAGAGTAGCGGCTTAACGCCAGAAACGAACTGCAGATGCTTACTGTACGAGACACGCTCATCAACTAATACCATCGAAAAACTCGCCACTATCACCGAAACGGCCAACAACAATAAAACTATTCGAAACGCTACCATACGTGCACTAAAACTATTCGACATTGATCAAACAAACGAAATATCTGAGAAATTTCGATAAAACTTCAAAACATTTCATTAACACAACATTTTCACAACGATTCATCGAGTAAAATGCTGATCAAGTAAAACACCGTTAAATTTTTGTCGATTCAATAATGACAAATCGNNNAACTTAAAAGTAAAATCTTCAAACAATTCAAAGTTTTAAGTTTTTAAAGTTTAGTTTTAAATTTGTTTAAAACAATGCAAACAGTACAAACGTACGTATTGATTCGTTCGGCCATATTCGAGATTGATTCGTTCATCGGATGTGAATACGCTAAAATGCCGACGCTTTCTGGAGGAGTGCTCGGTGGTAGAAGCGCTCTTAGGACGGCATTGTAGAACGCATTTGTATAGGCGGGTAGTGATGCCCACAATTTATTGTTGAACCAAATCTTAAGTTTGTTTTTGAGTTCATTTTATTTCTCAACATTTTATCCCTACATCATCCATTCTGCGATAAGACATCGAAGAATTTCTCGTTCATAAGGAATGTTTTTCTTTCATCGAACGTTCCCAAAAAATCAAAAATTTCAACTGATCTCCCCAAACACTTTTGCTATACATTCATTCCACCATTCATCACTGACTTATTTCATTCATTCCAAAACAAAACGCTTCCAATGTTCAGTTGCTCAGTCCAATGCAATCTCATTGTTGACACCACATAATTCAGAACCAACCTTATTATTTTGACGTCTATCGAAATTTGCCATCGCCATGTTCACTAAATCAACGAATGTTTCATT